GTAGATTTGTGAGTTTACGATTTCCTCCGCTTTACTGGGTGTCACAAATACGTGATGTCTTTCTCTTATCCCTTTCGAGCAATCTTCAACCCTAACCTGTGTCGCTTTGCAGTTGATTGGGGTTGAGAGACACTGGCCGATGGTGGTTGTTTTCACTTCCTCCTTCCTCCTTTATTGTCTAATGGAATCCCAGTGGGTTGAGACTCTCATCAATTCGGTGTGATTTCACCTGGTCACATGTGTTGCTTTCACTCTGTGAAATGAAGCCTGTAAGGCTTTTATGAAGGTCTCGGAAGCCGTGTCAGTCTGGATATGAGTTTGCTGTATCAAACAGCAAACTTGGCTTTGGCATCACTCCGTACCATTTGTGTGGAATCGATTTGCGGGATAGCAACTATATTCCTCTCTATTTTGCCTCCAGTTGGAGCAGTGGCGTGTTGAATCGAAGCGGGAGAAAGACCTTCGGAAACGCCTTGAGGTGGAGATGAAGAATCGTGAGGACAAGCTCGTTCGTATGGAGTCGGATATGAAACAGCTCGCACTTTCTAATGAGGATCTTCGCAGACAGCTGGAAGTCGCTATGGTGAGAAACCATCTCCTGCTTAAGCAAGCTATTCTCGCCCAAACCACAAAATGTGCACTTTAATTGCATTCAACATTGTATTGGCTGACTTAATAGAATAGATAGTTGTTTAACTAATCCCAGCTTCCTTCTCTACAGGCCTTTTCTAAATCCACCTCTCCACTCACTCCCAAGCCTGGAACACCGGCGGCGACTCTTGCCCAGGCCAAATCGCCCCCCACAGTGCCTTGCACACGTTGTGAGTCTTTTCAATCCCGTATCCACGAGTTGGAAAACATGGAGGTGCACATCACGGCCGAGAAGGCTCGTCTCGAATCGCAGTACAAAGCCTATGTGGCGGATGTAGGTCATCTTTTGTTATGCGTTAACTTGAAGTTTGTCTTTCTCCTCAACCGATTGCACAGCATGAGTCACCGGGACTTTTGATGGACTGCAGTGGCCATGGTCACGAATCCCCAACAGGAATTCCATGTGATGTTTTTGTTTTTAGAAGAACACAGAATCCCCTCTAGACTGTCAGTTTACCTGATGAGGCTCTGTGTGCCATAAAAATGCCTCTCCGAAGTTAGCAGATGAATTTTCAATACATCTGCATCAATTCTTTGACAAAAGCAATTT